AATGTCCAAGAATGTTCATTACATCTAAAATAACATCTAAAATAAATTGATCAGTAATTTTAAAATCGAAAATTCACACACCAGGGGGGCGTTTCACAAAGCCTTTTTTCAATGACAAATTTACACAAATCTGTGACAAATCTGCTGATAACCAATATGAAGCAAGGATTTCAGTAGCTTATAACAATTTGTCACTGATTACAAGTTTTGTGAAACGCCCCCCCCCAGAGCTGTGTCATCAGATTACCAGTCCTCTAAAAAAAAGTAATTTGACATGAATGTACCGTCACCTTTATAGAATGATGGTGAACATTAATATGATCATGCCAGCGTTTCTGGTTATTTCCCCTCCTTTTTTCATTTTCATTGTTCTCTTTTCCATTTCGCCATTTTATTTGGGACACTTGCCACTAAAAATAAAGTCACTGTGCACTAAAACACGTAATTTACAGTGAGTTTGCATTCTATGGCATGCCTTTTCCATGTTAACCCTCTCATTATCAACATTTCGAACATTTTTATGACCTCCCGTCCAGACGGATAGGTATTTCAAGATCAACGTCATCAGTCTGTGTTTGTTTGTACAGCCAACATAAAATGTGTCAACTTCTTCGAAAGCACAATCACATCTAGCGCCGCGGGCAAAGAAATTACGCGGCTAAACGTTTCGGTACACACACAATCCCACGCATTTCAAACAGGTGGGAGCTATCGCAAGCAGGTATCATGGTCAAGTACCACAGACTTGTGGCTGCGGAAAGATAGGGATTCGCTATCATACCTCTTAATTTATGGGTGGAAATCCGTTGGATAACATTCGATGGCCCTTTTCCTTCTTATTCTTTCGATTTCATGGCATTTGCCCAGACGTCTGACGCGATTGACGCGAAATTACAATTTAGGGGGATAAAGGGTGAATTACAGGACTATACAGGTAGGTAATCGAGAGGAAAAAAAAAAGTCCATTGACCTTGGTGGCACATTTTGGCAAGTTTGATTTACTTTTCTGAATCAGAAATTATTGAAAAGTCTAAAATGAGGAGTAAATACAGGTAAATAAAAGGATAAAGGGAAGGCTGATTGCTGCACAGCGTGAAGGTAACACCACATGGAAAGAAAAACAGTTGCGTGTACTAGAGGAAGGAGTAAGAGAGAAAGAGAGAGAGAGAGAGAGAGGGAGGGAGGGAGGGAGAGAGAGAGAGAGAGAGAGAGAGAGAGAGAGAGGGGTGACAGATAGGGAGATAGAGAGAGATAAAGAATAGGGGGAAAGAAATTGATGTGACCATCAGAACTAGTACCAACAAGGCGTTGCTCCTTCAAACCTTTTTAAACGTACTTAAATATTCATTTTAATTAACAAAACCGATTTGAGAATTGCAGAAAGTTTTTTTTTGAATAACGTTAATCGTTTTTACCTTCGATTTGATTGTGCATACGACTTACACGCTCAGAATATTACGGAAAATTGATCGGAAAAATTCAAAGCTAGATAATAAAGACGAATTTGTCTACTTTGACGATTCGTTTCAGATCAATGACATTTATATACAATGTCGTACATGCCACGGGCAAATGAAACACCTTATCTAATAACTGATGTTAAGATAGTAGATGCCACTATTTCCATGTCACTTTTCATTGGATCTCATACATGCATCATTAGTTTTCGGACATTTGTCCACACCCCCCTCACTTGTAGGAAGAAAATTTTGTGACCAATGCATTAACCCCTCTTGCCCCCTCCACCTCCTTTTGAATATATGGCGTTCTTCTGTCTGTGGTCAAGCTATACATGTATATGTATTGGACGCTTGGGACAGTCCGTCGGTCGATGAACCATGTCTTCAGGTAAAATTGTCGAAAAGGTTTAGTTTTTCTCAGGGTTGTTGCATTCATAGGTTGTTTTATTCAAGTCCTGTCACATGTTATATTATGATCTATATTTAAATGAGATAAATAAAGATGTAGGAGAGAAAGAGAGGGAAATATAGGAGAGACGGTGTGAGACAGTGAGAGAGAGAAAAAGAAAGGGATATTTAGTCCACGCTGTTCAAATTCTATATACCCCCTACCCAGTATTGCGCCAAACTGTATGGTTATGTTTAAAGGTCTAGGAACAAAGCCCACCCCACCCCTACCCATTGAACTCTCCCCGTTTCCGGGTCCACATTCACCTTCCATGCTTCCTCTCTCCCTCCCTCTTTCTCCCTCTATCTTTATCTATATCTATATCTATCTATCTATCTACCTATCTCTCTCTTTCTCACTACATCTTTCACACATTTGTGCCGCAACCTCTTTCATGGTGAGGCGTAAATACAGAAGAAAGAATGTGTACATAAAGGGGTGTCAAATTGTCCTACTTCTGGCAAACATGAATGGTACACCTGTAGGTATTAAGATTGCAAGGTTGTTGGACCGAGGCATGAAAATCAAAATCCCATAATTGCTCGGCTCAGTAATCCATGTTTTCATTACACTTCACACGGACCTGAAAAGGACGTTTTTCTTAAAGATCTGCATAAAGCTGTCAGAAGCAAGCGTGTCAAAACGTTAATCGAGCTTAAAAAATAAACATTGTTCTTAGAAAGAAAGTCCACCCTGATATTAAATTGGTTTTTAATAAAAGCGGGAAAATGAGAGAAACGAATCAGTGGAAATTCGAGCAACATCTGCTTAGAACAAAATTAAAGTTATGAATTCATGAAGTTGTAATCAAAGGAACACAAATTGGCAACTCTATGATATATCTTTTGAGGTCCTTCCCCGTTTTACCCTGTACTGAAAGTTCATAAGCTTTAATTTCTTACTTATTTGAGAAATGGTTATGTCAAGGGGACATCAAAGATTGAAGATTTCCATTAGAGGACATACAAATAAGACTTCTTCTAGTACAGAGCAAATGGGAAAGTATCTCGCACGAACAATTAACACAGATACGCCAAATTGTGTTTGATCGATTTAAACCTCGATCATTCACAATTCTTATTTTTTTGGATTTAATTTTGCTCAGAATTTCACTCATCTGCCTCTCAATTTATTTAGCTTTCATCAAAACCACCATGTTATCAATTATCCCATTTTTTGGAGAAAGTATGGAAACAGATTTGGTTCGTTATTACTTATTGCGCTACAAATTCATTTGTCCCCCCCCCCTTGCGCGTTTCAAATTCATACATGTACGTTGTAGATAATGAATATATTAGATAATGAATATATTAGATAATGAATATATTAGATTAAATGAATATATTCGATGATAGAGATGTTAATTGTTTATAGCTAGTCTGACCATTTCCAGATATCCTGTTATTCACATTTTTGGGGGTTCAAGTTTAGTCTGCATAGCCGAAGGGATAATAAACGGAGGGACTACGTGTGTCATTGATAGGATAATCAGAAATAGATGAGAGAGAGAGAGAGAGACGGACAAAAACCGATGGATATATTGAAAATGAAAAACAGACAGACAGACAGATAGGGAGAGAGAGAAAGAGAGAGAGAGAGAGAGAGAGAGAGAGAGAGAGAAATGAGAGGGGCAGAGTGAGGGGGGGGGGGGGGGGGGGGGGGGAGTAAAACGGGATGGTTTGAATGAAGGTACCAACCGGCGTCTTGTAACTGAAACTCCCTAAGATGGCACGCCTTTGACCTACATTCTATTTTATATATTGCAAGCCTAATGAACGAAGTCCCCAACCGCCCCTTATTTAGAAATAGATAGATGAACTTGCACAGGTCATGGTGGAGAAGCATATCTTCATTTTGTGAGAGTTCTCAGGGCGTAGCGTCTGTTTGGACCAGAAGGTAGGGGCGGGTTGAGGGGGCATAATGAGCATGGGGTAGGGCAAGTCATCTGGATGTACTCTTTAACGAATAAGATTACGAATTAAGGTACGGATTGCAGTTATCTTTATTGCCTGTATGTCCCATCCCTCCCCATCGACCAATCATCTCTCTCTTTCTCTTTAAATTACAGACCCTTCTCTTTAACTCCCATGCCCCCTTCTTTGCACGTGTACTACATACGCTACTCGAGAGATTGAAGGAACTAGCATTGTGTCTGAGAAATGTCTAACATATGTGTACCAGATGTATTTTTTTTTAGAAATAAGAAAAGAGGTCTTACTTTTATTTGTTGTAAGCTCATGGGGGCCTAGCCTTCTGTATTGATCGTATAAGTTCTTAACATAGTAATATTATTCCAAGTGAAAATATTGTCGCGAACAGTCCTGCACTATGCACAAAACAAACATTGATGAATAGCAAAAAGAAAATCAAATACCATCCAAAGTACGAGTACACATATAGCATGTACATTGTGTATACTGATATTATGGAAAGTGACCTGCATTACCTCGCACAAAAAATGAGCACTGTAATAAATGTCTTGCGTTTTCAAACTTGGGTTATAACAAAATTGTAAAGGCATTGTGTGGCAAAAACGAGGGAAAACATAAAGTGATCATCATCATTCGAATAAAGACATCCTCTAGAAAAGCCTTTTACTTGACAGCCACTGTGCAAAGATTGAGAGGGCATTGAAAGTTTAAGAAAAACAAATGATATATTTCTATTTAAAGAAGTGTATGACGTATCCACCACTTGTTCTAGATTGCAGGTATTTAACATTGTTGCGTTTTGTTATGGACCTACAATCAAATGGAAAAAGATAATGAGAACTAAGTCAAACAAGCAAATCTATCAATGTCCTTTGTTGTTGTTGTTGTATGTTTCAGATATATACATGTACCAGTCAGCTGGCCATACCATTCCAAAGAAAAACGAATTTACAATATCCGTTTAAAGAATGTTTATTCGTTTGGTCCTGTGAGGGGTGCTTCACGAAGGATCGCCAGATATTGATAACAGCTTATTAAAAAATAATACCCTTTTGGGCCGGGTTATAATCCTGCGCTTACTTGAGATTTTCGTGCTAAATTGTAGAGGTGCAATGACTATACTCTGTTTTAAGCAACTCATTTTTATTGATCTCTCAACAGGGGAACTAAGGTCTATGTGCCATTGGACAGAAAGACAGGACAAGGTTCAAGTGGAACAGTTCAACTTGTACAAAGGGGTACTTTATCAAGAACTCCTACAAACGTTCCTGGGTCTAGGACGCATTATTTCCCATCGGGACAAGCACCTATTGTTGGACAACAAAGGCCAAGTAGGGTCGTACCGAGGCCTGTGGTTCAAAGACCTGTGGTTCAAAGACCTGTGGTTCAAAGACCTGTAGTGCAAAGACCATATGTCACGACGCATAGGATGCCAATCGTTCAACAGGGTCCAGTCAGGACCCGGCCGAGTGCACATATTCCAAGTAGGACCCAGTCAAGAACTCCCGTCAGGACATCACCGCTCGGTAGATTTCCCTCAAGGACACAAGGGAACGCGCGACCGACGATTCCTCGAAGGACACCAGTCCGGACACCAGTCAGAACCCCACCAAGGACACCTTCCAGGACTCCTGTCCGGACACCTGTCAGGACACCCTATGTCTCTGGGACGCAGTTGTATAGCCAGTCTAGGATCCACAGCACGCAGCAAGTCTTGACCTCGAGGCAGCTCCATGTTCAACACGGAGCCCTTCCGAAAACCCGCACCAACGGAGTTTGTAGGTACCATGGATACTACCCCATTGCCTGTTGCACCGGCTGGAAAAGGATAGTGAACCCCCTTAAACCTTGGACCTATTCCTGCCAACGTAAGTACAAACATTATCCTTATTATTATAACATGCTGTCAGTGTCTAACATGCTCTTTTTCATCAAGTCCGTTCAAAGGTGCCCAAGCAGGCGAAGAACGCATACGCGGTGTCTTCTTCACGGTCCATTTGATCGCATCTGTCACCACCAAGCATCTCATCGGAGTTTATTTTGTAAGGCTCTGCCCCCTTTTAGCTGGCCGATTCTCCACTGATTGACCTCCCAGACCCGGTGTCTAAATACGGACTCAGGAATGAACTTGACACAATTAGCCCATCTTTGATTATATAGGTCTTATACGTTCACGCCCCTCTTATGCGTTTCCCGGGTGGCGGGGGTACAGTCTCAAGTGATATCCCCACGCATAGTCTTACCGAAGACATCTTTCATTACTTGTATAGGCGGATCCAGGGAGAAGAAGGGGGCGAGGTGAGGTGACCCCCTATGGAGAAAAAGGACGGCGACCCCGTCCGGATCCATCGGAAGGGTAGTTAATGGTTTTAGAGGTGAAATCTTGAAAAGAGTCTAAAAATAAATCTAAAGATATTTTCCAGCCTCGTCAGGGATTAAAAGAAAAGTTATGTTCGATAAAATATTTTCGAGAAGAAAAATACTGAAAGGAAAAGGTCGTCCTCCCCACTTTTTGACAATCCTGGATCCACCCCTAAAGTGTACTGGAAATGAGCGATATAATTATGCAGACAAGAAATCCATATAAGCTTAATACGATGCCCGAAGGCTTATTAGTAGACAAGTGTAGACTGAAAGTAGGACAGGTTTTTTCCTGCAGATGTGTGTCTTTTAGTCTAGTTCATCTGGAAATTAAATTAAAATTGATGATGCAAGTCGTCTGATTGTCAAAGATGAACAGGACTTTTGATCACTCTCTGTTTTAAAAAAATGCGTGAAAAATATTCATCATTCTTAATGCACCCTTCGAACATAAGCGATTGTTGTTGTTATTATTGATGTGGTATGGATTATACGATATCGGGTCCAGGATATCCAGATAGGGGAAAAGGGGGAAACAATATGTTTTAAAACAGCGAAACTCCATGATCCGTAACTGGGATACCTATCGCATAGCGTAAATGGGGCGGTGACTGACTTTTCATTGGGAAAGGGGGGAGGGGGGGGGGGGGGAGATTTACCCCCACTTGGATCTACCTTTGTGTTTTGAAACCCTGAATGAAGATTTTACTGATTGTAACCCGAATTCGATAGTAAATTATCATTCTCATTTTACGAATGGAAGATAATGGATATAGGCCTAGCTAATTGGACGGATCGTTGTTACACGTTTGGTTGTTTGATATTTGTTGTTGTTTTTTTTTTTGGGGGGGGGGGGGTCTTCTCCTCGGAAGAGCTTGGCAAATATATGGTGGCCCTGAAGGGACATCGCGAATAGACTAAATCGTGAAAAGTATGCGATAAAATTCACGATATCGTCAATTTTATCGCATATTTTTCACGAAGAAATTCACGAAATTGACGATATCGTGAACTTTATCGTGAACTTTTCACGATGAAATTGACGATATCGTGAATTTTATCGTGAAAAGTTCACGATATAAAGTTCACGATATCGTCAATTTTATCGTGTACTCTATCGTGTACTCTATCGTGTACTCTCCTGACGGGCGCTTCGTAAACAAAACCAGCCCTAGCTGGGGGAGACAGAGAGAAGGAAAAAAGGGAAAGGGAAAGAGAAGATAAAAGGAAAGAAAGAATAATAAGAAGAAAAGAGGGAAGCGGGGGGGGGGGGCGAAGGGCTCTTGCCTCCTCCTCACTCCCCCCCCCTCCCCGCCAAAAAATAAATCAGAGAGAGAGAGAGAAGGGAAAGGGAAAGGGAAAGAGAAGATAAAAGGAAAGAAAGAAGAGGAAGAAGAAGAAAAGAGGAAAACGGGGGAAGGGCGAAGGACTCTTGCCCCCCCTCCCCCGCCAAAAAATAAATCAGAGAGAGAGAGAGAAGGGAAAGGGAAAGGGAAAGAGAAGATAAAAGGAAAGAAAGAAGAGGAAGAAGAAGAAAAGAGGGAAACGGGGGCAAAGGGCTTTTGCCTCGTCCCCCCGCCCCCCGCCAAAAAATAAATAAGAGAGAGAGAGAGAGAAGGAAAGGGAAAGAGAAGAAAGAAAGAGAAAAACGAAAAAGAGGGAGAATAGGAAAGAAAGGAAAAGAAAGAAAAGAAAGGAGGCAAGAGCCCTTCGCCCCTGTTTCCCTCTTTTCTTATTCTTTTTCCTCTTCTTTCTTTCCTTTTATATTTTCTTTCCCTCTCCCTTCTCTTTCCCTTTATGGCGGGAGGGGGGAGGGGGAGGTAAGAGCTTTTCGCCCTTCCCCCGTTTCCCTCTTTCCGTCTTCTTCTTCTTTCTTTCCTTTTATATTTTCTTTCCCTTTCCCTTTCCCTTCTCTCTATCTCTCTCTCTCTCTCTCCTATTTATTTGTTGGCGCGGGAGGGGGGAGGAGGCAAGAGCCCCTCTTTTCTTCTTATTCTTCTTCCTTTCCTTTTTTATTCTCTTTCCCTTTCCCTTCTCTCTCTCTCTCTCTCTCTCTCTTATTTATTTTTTGGGCGGGGGGATGCAAGAGCCCTTCGCCCCCGTTTCCCTCTTTCTTCTTCTTTTTCCTCTTCTTTCTTTCCTTTTATCTTCTCTTTCCCTTTCCCTTTCCCTTCTCTCTCTATCTCTTATTTATTTTTTTGGCGGGGGGTGGGGAGGGAGGAGGCAAGAGCCCTTCGCCCTTCCCCCGTTTCCCTCTTTCCTTCTTATTCCTCTTCTTTCTTTCCTTTTATATTTTCTTTCCCTTTCCCTTCTCTCTCTTATTTATTTTGGCGGGGGGGGGGGGGGAGGAGGCAAGAGCCCTTCGCCCTTCCCCTGTTTCCCTCTTATTCCTCTTCTTTCTTTCCCTTTCCCTTCTCTCTCTCTCTCTCTCTCTCTTATTTATTTTTTTGGCGGGGGGGGGGGGGGGGAGGTAAGAGCCTTTCGCCCTTCCCCCGTTTCCCTCTTTCCTTCTTCCTCTTCTTTCTTTCCTTTTATATTTTCTTTCCCTTTCCCTTTCCCTTCTCTCTCTCCTTATTTATTTTTTGGCGGGGGGGGGGGGGGGAGTGAGGAGGAGGCAAGAGCCCTTCGCCCCCCCCGTTTCCCTCTTTTCTTATTATTATTCTTTCTTTCCTTTTATCTTCTCTTTCCCTTTCCCTTTTTTCCTTCTCTCTGTCTCCCCCAGCTAGGGCTGGTTTTGTTTACGAAGCGCCCGTCAGGAGAGTACACGATAGAGTACACGATAAAATTGACGATATCGTGAACTTTATATCGTGAACTTTTCACGATAAAATTCACGATATCGTCAATTTTATCGTGAAAAATTCACGATAAAGTTCACGATATCGTCAATTTCGTGAATTTCTTCGTGAAAAATATGCGATAAAATTGACGATATCGTGAATTTTATCGCATATTTTTCACGATTTAGTCTATTCGCGATGTCCCTTCAGGGCCACCATACAAATACACCTCCTGTAATCGGGATATGTCACGTTAGCAATCACATGTAATTTGCCTGTGTAATAGAGACTCTGTAGTCATGGGCAAGTACTTAGGACTCTTTAGAACATATCTGTCACCTTATCAATGCTGTGATGATGATGATGATGATGATGATGATGATGATGATGATGATGATAATGATGATGATGATGATGATGATGATGATGATGATGAAGGCGGTCCGAAAACTTGATCAAGTGACAACCTTGGGTCGAATACAACCTGTATAAAAGACCATGTGGCAATGACAACGGTATATTTGCAATCAAGACAGTATGTGAAATCGCATGTGAAAAAAAAACGTTACAAGTGGCATTTTTATAGGACGATTTAAATAAAACTGTAATCGTGCTAATCATCACGTTGCCCTAATTGCAGGATAACAAGGAATTCATGAGGTCTTTTAGATGGAAAAGCTAGCTGGAAAGGCTACGTATCTTAATAGCATCGACATGATCAATGATAACGAGCTTACTCATTTTAATGAAATTAACTTGATTTCTGCATAATGCATAATTTGACATATGTCACATAATTGGATTAATGAAGGAAAATAGAAGCTATAACGCAGAAAATAAATGTTACAAATTTCAAAAAAAATCTGTCATCAATTTCACGATCATGTTTAAATAAAAAGAACCTCTTAAGAAACGCAATTTATGATAGGATTATCAGATTATGTATAATTAAACAAACAAAGTATTTCTTTTCATGGATAGGGTTTCCGATGGACAGTTTTAATGAATTAAATTGGATTTAATTGATTTATTGTCCGTACAAATGGAAATTCGTTGCTCACTGGTACAGGTGTGTTACAAACAATGTACACAATTATACAAGTTATAAAACATAATAACAACATAACATCAATGGCGTTACATCCAACAATACGAGCGACGTCCCACATCCAGGCACCTCGTAATTACACATACACTTGCTACACATGCATGAGCTTTAAAGTAAGGGGTTAATCATGTGGGAAGAGGGGGGGGGGGGTCTTTTCCATGACCAACCGAATGATGTTGATCATATTACCGTACTTGGCTGGACCTGTGATCACAGTGGGAATACATATCAACGGATTAGTGTTACATCTATTCATAGAAGAACGTGAATGAATTGGAGGTGGAATCCAGGTCAACGTGTATGGTAGTGGGGCTCATTGCAATCCGAAAGTATCTATATTTTTCCTTGAGAAGGAATATGGTAGAAATTCAAAGTGATAGAAAGACAGAGAGAGGGAGAGAGACAGAGAGAGAGAGAGAGAGAGAGATGGGTGACATTACTGTAGTGTATCATAATGTTTAGAAAAAAGACCTACAAAAAAAGAAACACTCTGAAAAGGTTCTTTTCTTCGAAAATCTTACAGCAATCCGAGAGAAAGTTTAGAATTAGTCAACACATATGGCCTGGCATCGCTGTTATAGGTACGAATGCAAGAAAAAGCAATCTAATGTAAAATAGG